CTGCATACTTTAAGGACCATGATATATATTTTGCTATATTTATCACCAGGCCTCCCCCTTTTCTATTTTAAATATATAACACAAAGCATCAACTCACTGGATCGAAGACCAACATCCTACAAAGGAGATGAACGGCTTCATGTGTAGCTTGGCTGGATAATGTATACAGGACAGGAAGGGATGGCTGTGAAAAGAAAAAGAAAAAGCACTGAGCCTCATACGAATAATTGAGATGCCAAAATGCAACAACTGTCTTTTCTGAATCATAGCTAAAATTGCTGAATACATTCTGTTCAGGGTTTTGCTATGTTTTTTAAATAATTAAAAAAAAAAACCATTTTGGAAATGAATGAAGAGGACAAGTTAGTCTAGCAAGCTCTTCCAGCAAAACAGGTTAGGTTAAGTCCAGCACACATTTCCAGCCGAGCAGATTAAAAATAAAACTTAATTGTTCTAATTTTTGTAAATGTAATCCATTTTATATTTATAACTGTTATATGTTGTTTTATCTTGATGTAAGCCAGTCAGAGTCACCTGAACCATGAAATGGGCAGCAAATAAATTTCATAAATAAAAATTAAAAAATAAATTCCTAGAGTTCTTAACATAAGAGGAACCTGAACTGAAGATAGTGAATAGTGGACAGGGGCCCTCTCTCTCCTCTTCTAGCTGTTTGACCCCATGACACTCATTGATTTCAGTACTTGTTCCTAAGTAGTAAGTGCATAGAGAGATTAAGGCCTTAAAGGGCTTGATGAACTTTACATTAGAATGAAGAGAGAAAAACAGGACCTCCAAAATTCAAAAGGAATTTTGTTGTCGTTGCTGGTTGCGAAGTCGTGTCCGACCCATCGCGACCCCATGGATAACGTTCCTCCAGGCCTTCCTGTCCTCTACCATCTTCTGGAGTCCATTTAAGCTCACGCCTACTGCTTCAGTGACTCCATCCAGCCACCTCATTCTCTGTCGTCCCCTTCTTCTATTGCCCTCAATCTTTCCCAGCATTAGGCTCTTCTCCAGTGAGTCCTTCCTTCTCATTAGGTGGCCAAAGTACTTGAGTTTCAACTTCAGGATCTGGCCTTCTAAAGAGCAGTCAGGGTTGATCTTCTCTAGGACTGACCAGTTTGATCGACTTGCAGTCCAGGGGACTCGCAGGTGTCTTCTCCAGCACCATAGTTCAAAGGCCTCAATTCTTTGGCGCTCAGCCTTTCTTATGGTCCAACTTTCACAGCCATACATTGCAACTGGGAAAACCATGGCCTTGACTCTACGTACTTTTGTTGACCGGGTGACGTCTCTGCTGTCTAGATTTACCATAGCTTTCCTCCCCAGGAGCAAGCGTCTTTTAATTTCTTGGCTGCAGTCCCCATCTGCAGTGATCTTGGAGCCCAGGAAAATAAAATCTGTCACTACCTCCATTTCTTCCCCATCTATTTGCCAGGAATTGAGAGGGACGGATGCCATAATCTTGTCAAAAGGAATGTTCATAACTAAAAATAGACCTGACCTCCTTATGCAAATGTAAAATTTGTCTTGGTTCTTTTTGTTAGAAAAAAAGTAAGCAAATTAAAATATATTGAGCTTAGAAGCTCGTTGTTCTCCATCACTTCCTACACTATTATTTTCTTAGTGTGGTGCTTCTAAAAAAACCCTGCTTTCCTATGCAAATTCTAAAAAGGAAAGCATTATAGATCTAACATATGCACGAATTGGGAAAAACCATTAGGAGCAAGAAAGAAATGATTACATAATTTTCTCCTATTATTGGCAGATGATTAATTGTTATTGGTATGTGGGAGGAATATGTTATACCTAATCCAGAACCAGCACATATTCAGTTTGAAATAAAACTAAGCAATCAAACTCTTGCCTTATCTATCTATGTAACAATATTAACAGAAAAGGTTAGATGCTAATTAGCATTACAGAAAAGAGTAAAGATTTATAATAGAGTTTCACGGGATGCTTTGCATGTATATAAGGACGCCATGGCTAATTTCTTAGTCAGAATGAATATTATGGAATGATGATAGTAGGACCCCACTGTGTTTCACAAACACTACAGTTGTTCTATACCAGTTCTATGGCATATGAAGCTGTGTTAGGCCAAGGCTGCTGATTGTGACTAAGAATACAATAAATCTTTATTAGTACTACTTTTTAAATTGGAAAATCCATCAGCTGATCTTGGGACACTCTGCATGCAGTGATTTAAGGCTATATTTCCAGGAATTGCAAATCTGACCAGCTTATACAAGGTGATTATAACAAGACCTCAGAACAACTCTGAAATACCATGGAATTTTGAAAAAAAAAAGACTTTCTTTCCATCTCTCATTTCTTGCCCCTCCACTGTATTTCCATATGCAAAGTACTCCATTCTGTTAAGGATAACTGAGAAAACCTTGAGTATAATTCCACATCTCTATTACCTGTGGCTCTGCTGCACGCACCCAACTCTAAATAGAATTCAAGCTGCAGCAGGAGTTCATAAGCCTCTTCCAACACACCAAAAATCACTTTATTCCTTATGTTTTTTAAAGTTAGGTATGCATATATACAGTTTCCATCATATTGTGAAATGATGTTTATATAATGAAAACAGTATTTTTGTGCTGCAAATATTTTCAATTATTACATATCAGAACTTCCTGCTGAGAAGAAGTTCTATCAGAACAATGGTTACTCAAACAAAATAGGTGACATCCTAAAATAGATATTACACATCTATTTTATTATCTCCAGCCATTATATTTGATTTCATACTTCTGGCTGAAATACCCAAAACAGAGATGATAAAAGAAATTGAGGTTATGGCTAAAATTAAGTCCCTGATAGCAGCTTTCCAAACTAAGATAAGTGGGTCATTTAAGTCTAATTTAGCCTCTGTAATTGGTTCATAGGCTGTACTTAATGCCCAGGAATGCAAAAGATCTCTTTTCCTTAGCTTGGCTTTTTAGTATTACATATAGCAGTTCCACTCTCCTCAGGCCAAACAGCCACACCTATTCTCTGCATCAAAAATTTAACTTCCACAAAAAAACAGAGAGCACGACATATTAATTTTCAGTTCTGCATAGCTGAGATAAATTGCTTTGTGATTATCCCGGTATGAATCCCAATCTGTTATTGCTCTTAGACTGAAAATTAAAAGTTGTCGTCACATTAACTAAAAGGCTCTGGCATTACCAAATTCTCCAAATTAGAAAGTAATCACTCTACCTGTTTATGAGGACCCCTGAGTATGTGAGCCTTGGCGCCTTCACAAGCTGTCCTCATTGCTTCCAGTGACGGTGTCCCCAAAAGATCGGTGATCAAATCCAACTGTAGAAATGAAAAAAATAAACCAGCACTCCAATTTTATTTTATACTGCGATAACCTCTGCCAACGCAAAAGTATGACTACCCTGTCTGTTTCCTCACTACTTCTAGGTATTCTTTGAAACTGGGCAAGTGTACATATATGTGTGCATGCCTGTGTAGGTTTTATATACAGGCAGCCCAAAATTTCTGTTGCTAAGCAAGACAATTGTTAAGTAAGTTTTGCCCCATGTTACAACCTTTCTTATCACAATTGTTAAGTGAACCACTGCAGTTGTTAAATGAATCTGGCTTCCCCATTGACTTTGCTTGTCAGAAAGTGGCAAAAGGTGATCACATGACACCTGGGATACTGCAACCGTCCTAAATAGGAGCCAGTTGCCAAGCATCTGAATTTTGATTACATGACCATGGGGATGCTGCAATGGTCGTAAGTATGAAAAACGGTCATAAGTCACTTTTTTCAGTGCCGCTGCAATTTCAAACAGTCACTAAATAAATAGCTGAAAGTCAAAGACTACCTGTAATAGCCTCTGACCTAAGTAATACCTCAAGAAGCTTTAAAATCTCTTTATACAGAAGCAACAAATGCAATGAAATCACAAAGATAATAGTAAAAGCAGTAGACAAACAACAATTTTAAATATTATTAAAAACCCAAAAGACCACAACAAACTTCATACTTTATGCTTGAAGACAATTTGGAAGCTATAGTTAGCCCAGAATGCAGCAGCAAGACTGCAAGCAAGACTGCTGTACACTGACGCACTAGGGACCAACTGACTTCCAAGGGCAATTTAAGATGCTAAGGGTCACCTTCAAAGCCCTTCATGGCCCAGGTCAAAATATTTGTAGGCCCATCTCTGCCTATCCAGCAAAACCATGATTGGCGTGCTTCAGACCCCAAGCAGTGTCATTTGATGGAACCTAGGAATTTGTCTTTGGTGTCACTGTGACTGCCTTATGGAACGGCATCTCCCCTCAAGATTCAGATGGCCCCAATTCTGCTGGTCCTCAAAAAGGCATTGAAGATCCATTTCTCCCCAGGCTCTGAGTCAGGACAGCACATAAACCTTTACAAGTGAGTTGTTTCTGGTGTGTGATGTGTTTTTATGGATTTCTATTTCTATTTGCTGTTTATGTTTTCCTAAACATAAACTGTTAGCTGCTTAAAACTGCATTCTGAGTGGGCAGCTATATGAACCCTATATAAATAATAAATAAATAAATAAATAAAGGCATACAAATGTGTCTACTGAGAAAACGCTGTAGTTTGGCCATTAGCACAGAATAATACAAGTCGTCCTTGACTTACAAGTGTAACTGAACCCAAATGATAGTCAAAAATCAGGCTGCTCGTTAAGCAGGTCATTATGTGACGGATCCGATTTTATGACATTATTTTGTGGTAGTCGTTAAGTGAATGCTGCAGTTATTAAGTGAATGCTGCAATCATGAAGCGAAGCCATCATTTTTTTGCCAAAACCCAGAGGTAAACACTGGTTTCCAGCAAAAAAAAACCCCATCATCAATTGCAGTCATGTGATCCTGCCATTACAGTCATTTACAGTCATTTACAGACCAATGGCTGTAAATGTAGGCTAGTTGCCAAGTGTCCCAAATGAGATGGGTGAGGGTGGACATCAGAACTTCAACTTTGGGGGTCTGTTGTGACTTCAAATGGTCACTAAGTGAGGACTACCTGTATCTTTTCTATAATAGCCACTTGCCTCTCTCTTAGAAGATAGGATTAATAGAGGAAAGCCGCTGGAGACTACTTAATTGGCAGGCAACCTCCTCTGTTTATTCTAAATGCCTGGAGAATCCTGACAATTGTAAATTCAAATCTCTGGTCCTTTCAACGAACTGTATTTCTGAGAAATTTAATGTGACGAGGCCACAATAGAACATATATAGATCCATTTAAGATCATTAGGATAAATAAAGCTTACATGGACAAACGATTCCTATCAAAATATAACAGAAAACTGGAGACAAAAGATCAGTAGTCAGGCACTGAGCTTTGAATCAATGGCTATAGGTTGTTAATTGGAATATCCTTTACAAAATCTCTTGGCCTCAGTTTTTGATACACAGAACAGAAATTACCTGCCTCACAAAGGGCTGCTTTTTTTTTGGCAAAGATGAAACATAGAACATGAAACAACATACATATGAGACATAGTCAAGAAGCATGCAACTAAACCTAAGAAGCTTCTTCAAAACATTAACATCAAATACTGTAACTGAATCTTATTTATGCAGAGCCCTGGTGTGCTGTTGTCTGATTGTCAGAATCCCCGGACAGAATAGTTGGAGATCCTGACAAATATGAAAAGAGTTGGGCTGAGGAAGGTTTTTTTAGGGCAACCTAATCAACTGACATATCGTTACAAAACCTTCACATCCATGCCCAGCTATAGCAGTTTTCCACTCTTAATCTGACAAAACAAAACAAAAGCAATCTCATTCTCAATTAGACTAAATTACAATTTGTTTTGTTACAATGCAAAACGATTTGCAACTTCACCCTCAATTTAGAGATCACTGATTATTGTAAGGTGCGTCACCAATGTGTGAGTTGAGCAGCTATATAAACTTGTTTAATCAATAATAATAAATAAATTACTGGGGGGGTGGGGAAGGAGGAAAAGAATAGCTACCAAAGCTGTACAACTCTATTATCCACCCAATTTAAATATTTTGCAAAAAGATTCCAAAATAGCATCTCACTTTTCTAGCTAATTCAAATTTTTAAGAAGCATTTTCAACATGCTAAAGATAAACCACCCACATTTGTCCTCGCAATTCCTGGACGAGATGGGCGGTCTTGAGTGGGCTTTTAACTCAACCTCCATTCCCCATCTGTCACCCGAGAACGATGACAGTCTACCTCAAAAGGTTGCACTGGAATTGATCAGATAAGCAAGTGCAACTTTGTTATTCCTGGATAAGAAGTGGGGGCCCAGAAAAAAAAGGAAGAGAAACATCTCATGGTCATATGGCTAAAATAATAATTAAACAAACTCATTTAAATCATTAGGTCTCTAAATGGTTAACCACAATTTCTTAGTATAAAAAGTAAAGATTATGTGTGTGCACGTGCATATACACACACACACCAAACACCAAGCAGCCACCCTTAAAACCACCAAATATAGAAATACTTTTCCTTATTCTAGTGCCCCCCCCCCCCTGTATGCTGAATGATGACTGGGCATGTTGGCAGTTGCAGTCCAACCCTTTAGGAGGGAGTAATTGCCAGATCTATTGCATTAAAAGCAAAGCACCTTTATACCTGCTGAATGGGGCTTTGAGCTTGAAACAATATTCTTCGCCCCAGCAGTTCGGCAAATATACAGCCTATGGACCAGATGTCAATAGCATTGCTGTAGTGACGGCTTCCCATCAGGATTTCTGGAGCCCGATAATACTGAGTAACAACTTCCTGAGTCATATGACGAGATTCATCTAATTCTTCCACCCTGGCTAGGCCAAAATCACAGATCTGAAAAAGTAAAGGTTCGTCAGTGTTATAAACAGTAAGGGTAGGGAGAAGAATTCTGATATAACATCCTGGTCATTTCTCTGTCTCTCTGTCTCTGTCTGTCTGTCTCTCTCTCTGTCTCTTTCTCTCTCTCTGTCTCGCTCTCTGTCTGTCTGTCTCTCTCTTCGAGTCAGTCTTGACTGGTGAATTAACACCAGGCAATATTCTACCTAGGATTTTCTCAGTGCTGATCTTTCAAGGATTACTTTCCCCAAGCAGATAAAGTCTACCTGTATCTGGGCTGTACCCACTTAGAAGAGCAGGTGGGGCTTATGTGAGATTATGTTCCTCTATACAAAAGAGCCGTGAATCTCGCCAGAGAGAAAATTAGTACTGTGCATCATGAAAATGAATTCTAATCTGGTTCTCGTTGTTCTTAAGGTGCAGATTTATTTTCTATGTAACGAGATTCAATCGTAAGTGCTCCTAAAGTACAATCCAGTTTGCTGTTTTTAACAGCGAGTCCTTAGCCTCATGTAGCAGCAAGCTATTGTATAGTTAATGTTCTCAGAAGTAGCAATACGAAGAGATTAAAATAATCGTATCATGCTTTAAGCTGGGGTAAACACTCATTTTTTCCCCCTAGAGTAGCAAAGAGACCAAACTATGCCAACACCACAATTCTAAGCTACTCAGTGAACAGGAAAAAAAAGTCATTGGCTTCAGTCGGAGAATATTTATTTACAATGAGGGAACATCTCTGGCATTTAAGCACAAGTGTGTTTTGTTTACATTTATTATGGGGAGGAGATGAGGAGAAATATAATTCTCCCTCTGCTACTACGTGAAATTGTTTATGCCAGCAGAACACAATCATAGCTGTGAAATATGGCAAGTGAGTGGTTAACAACACTTCTCAGTGTTGTAATCATACTGCCAATAATGCATTTGATGAAATCCTGTTTTTAAAATAGGGACAGCTCTTCACCAGTTCAAACTCATTAATATTTATGGTTGTTTCATGAGTTATGGTTTTAATGATTAGAATAGATTATAGAAAGAAGAGAGCTATGTTGTAACCATAGAGTAAGAGGTCAATTTATATTTAAAACTGCTGTGAAGCTACTTGTTTGCATCTTTTTTCTTTCTGTTCTATTTTTCTTTTACTTCTTTTCCATCTCTCTTTCCATTTTTTTTTCTTTTTCTCACTCTACATTAGTTTGTATCCATTTTTAATCTTTTAAAAATATTTAATAAAATTATACAAAAATGTTTTATGATTATTTCGGAGAAATGCGAAGTACACAGTTTTTGTACTAAATACATCTGGGTTATAAAGATTGCAAAAGCAAGTCTTCACACAAATGATTTTCTGCATGGACTCAGAAAGGCTATCTATTTTATACAGGCAATATCAAAAATACCTTAAGAACACAGTTGCTGTTCACAAGAAGGTTCCCTGGTTTAATGTCTCGATGCAAAATACCAGCTGAATGTAAGTATTTCAGGCCTAGAAAAAAGCAAAGCAGAACAAAAGTTCACAATCAGAACAAGCTGTGACATCAAGTCTATACCTGCAAACACTGACATATTGGAAGCCAAAATATTATTTGTTTATACCAGGGGTAGGCAACCTTGGCTCTTTTATGACTCGTGGACTTCAACTCCCAGAATTCCTGAGCCAGCATGGCTCAGCTTGGAATGCTCTCCCTTTCCCCTCAGCATGGCTGGCTCAGGAATTCTGGGAGTTGAAGTCCACGAGTCATAAAAGAGCCAAGGTTGCCTACCCCTGGTTTATACCCTCTCTGGTTCAGAAGGGTCCTGGAGAAATTTTATCTCTAGGGCTGCAAAGAATCAACACTGATTTGATGGCACATAATCAATCAGACCCAGAAGGCAGTCAACATTATTTAGTAGGTAAGGCTTTATTTCTCAATCTTGGCAACTTCAAGACATGCAGACTTCAATTCCCAGAATTCTCTAGACACCTTGCTGGGAGTAGAAGTCGCCATGATTGAGAAACACTGAGCTAAGGTAGTGTAGTAGGAGTGGGGAGACAAAGGTTTCAGTCCTTTAGGCACAAAAGCCAGCAGGGTGACCTTCGCCCAGACCCTCCCACTCAGCCCAAATCAGTATCAGGCTTTGCAACAAGCTGACCAATGAACGAAGAAAAAAAACACGTTTTTGCTTTATCTGCTGCTAAGCATCATTGTAAGAACTTGGCAAATGGAATCCATACAGAACAACAGTGGGAAGAGGCATAGTTATAGGTTCACTCAACGAACTTCAGCAGATGAAGGTGGACTTAATCACAGTCCAATACTTTAACCATTGCAATACTTTAACTATCACACTATTCAAGAAGCATAGTGAATATGCTAAGATTAAGACAAGGGAGACTCAGGTTCAACTTTTTCTTTTTTTAAAAAAAAATTGGATTAAAAAAACCTTTCCAAACTAAAGAAGCATATATATTATTGCTAATCATGGAGAGAAGCAATCTAGAACTAAGGAGAACTTTCTTGACAGTGAGAACAATAAACCAGTGGAATGGCTTGCCTTCAGAAGTTGTGGGTGCTCCATCACTGGAGGCTTTTAAAAAGTGACTGGACAACCGTTTGTCTAAAATGGTATAGGGTTTTCTGCTTAAGCAGGGGGTTGGATTAGAAGACCTCCAAGGTCCCTTCCAATTATTATTATTATTATTATTATTATTATTATTATTATTATTATTATTATTATTATTATTATTATTAATCATCGCATAGTCAGCCAGATGTTCAGACTGGATTTGGCATTTTTGTCTACCTATAGAGTCCTTCCCAAGGACCTGGGATAGGCAGATGTGGATTGTGATGGGTAAACACCTTTTATTCCAGTAATTCTGCAGCTGCTGGCCCTGGTTGCTCAGCCAACAGTCCTGAGTCCTCTAACCCATTTTTCACCAGATATCCAGGAACTCCAACATCTAGCGCGGACCTCGTTAACCCGGGCGACATCCGAGCCGGTATGGCTTTCTGAAATTTATGTCTCACCATATTTTTTATGGGAGAGACACTCTTTGTCTGACTCCTCTGATGAGACCTGTCCAGTATGGTTGAACCTCTGGCATAGCTCTCATCTTCCTCAGAGTACACAACCACATCAAGGTAGTGGGGGATTATTGGGTTATTATTATTATTATTATTATTATTATTATTATTATTATTATTATTATTATTATTATTATTATTATTATTATTATTATTATTATTATTATTATTATTATTATTATTCCAAGGTCCCTTCCAACTCTGTTATTCTGTTATGTATATAATTTTTCAATTGTAAATAGAATTCATATTATTCATATTCATATTATTCATATTATTTGAATATGAAAAGCAACACAGTATGAGTAATCCAGGAATTACTTTGCAGTTGAAAAGGTTTTTAAAAGAGTGCTTACTTGCAGGGAAAGCTTTACTTTATTTTAATTTATACGGCTCCCCTCCTCCTGCTTTTTCAATGCAGGTAGATGTCAACTTACAACCATTCCTTTAGCGACCTTTCAAAGTTACAACGGCACTGAAAAGAATGACTCACAACTGGTTCTTGCACTTAGGACTGTCACAGCATCCCCTCACTCATGTGATCGAAATTCAAGCATTTAGCAACTGGCACAAACTTATAATGGCTGCAGCATCCTGGGGTCATGTGATCACCATTTCCAACCTTCCCAGTTGACTTCTGACAAGCAAAGTCAAGTCAACAGGGAAGTTGGATTTGCTTAAAGATCACATGATTGTCCTATAACTATGCCAACCCCCCCCCACCTATTTTATGGGAAGTCCCACAAATTGGCTTCTAGTAAAATGTTCATATTACATGATCAGCAGTGGGGAAATACATTTTGCACATTGCAGTGGGGTTCCAATATATTTATTCCGCGTTAAAAATCTAAAGTAAATTACCTCTTAAAATCTGGTAAAGAAAAACTTTGACGTGATCTGAGCTGAGTGGCTGAGGAGAGACGATAATCTTATGGAGATCACTCTGCATCAGTTCTGTAACAACATATCTTTAATTGTATTCATTAAGGAAAATACAAGACAGAAAGTGGATCAGATAATTTCAGTTCCTGCAACACGCAAGAGACACCACAATAACCGCTCCTTTTCACTTCACTTAATCTGTAGGTATTTGTATGTTACAGAACCAGAAATGATTTGGACAGTTGCTAAGAATTATTTTAATCATAAGGCCCTGCTGTTTACCTCTAAGCCATTTTTTAAACTAGAGGACCATTAAAAAAAAAAAAAACCTTTGTGCTTGAGGCGGTAAATCTCTTTTTTCTTTTCAGTTACACATCACCCATTTTTCAAAAGTTGCTTTTTTTCCTTTCAGATTGGCAATTTTACATGAGAAACAAGAAAAAAAAAGTCCCAGTGATAGACCTGGACTGGCAGGAAATCGAAATCATACCAGAGAACCCGCCCACTTCTCACATGCAACATTAAAGACAGGAATGCAAGTTAAAGAGGCACCTTGGGAAAAAGCAATCGCTCCTGTCTGTTCACTTGAGTTATAACTGCTTGGATGAGTACACGATTTTCTACTGTCTCCAATAAAGTCTTTCAATATAACTGAAAGGGAGATCAAGATGTTGAGCTGGGCTCCACCTCCTGCATCAAGGCAATTGCCAGGCAAGATATCTGATGTATGATCTTGGTTGTTGACAACAGTCTGGGAGGACACAGAGCCTGAAGCAAAACCAGTGTATCTTGATTTTCAAGTATCAAGCTGTGCTTTCAGCACTGGAAGATTTTAGGACCAAGCAGTAGCGAAGAAAATAACTCTAAGCTTAAGGAAGAAAAGACAAGAGTTAGAGTTGCAAGCATAACATAAACCAGTGTTTCTCAACCTTGACCATTTTAAGGCATGTGGACTTCAACTCCCAGAATTCCACAGCCAGCAATGCTGACTGTGGAATTCTGGGAGTTGAAGTCCACATGCCTTAAAATTGTCAAGGTTGAGAAACACTGACATAAACGGAGCTGGATCAGGGGATGGGACCTGACATACAAAGATGGCGAAGATGATGACAGCATCTTTTTAATATTAGCTCCTCTGATATGGAATGGAATAGAATGCAGGGGAGGAGAGGCTAAAAACGTTCCTTTTTGGGGGGGGGGCACCTTTTAGGAATCGCGATTTTGCCTTTTTAAAACATACAACGTACAGCAAAACTGATTTTATTTAGGAAACAGAAAAGAGATGTTACATTTTAAAAAAGAAAATATGGATTGGAACAATAAATTAACACAGACACACAGATACAACGCAACAACCTGTGACCTGTTGGGCCATCATTTCAAAGCTATTTCCTTACCTAAATAGAGAAACCGAATGACCACAGGTGAGCAAAACAAAAAATCAGAGGGGGCGGGGAAGCCCTCTCACTTCTTGTTGGTTTCTCCTTTGAGGTTTTTTTGTGGAAAGTGGGCAGTGAGCATCGGAAAGCTTCCTTCCTTCCTTCCTTCCTTCCTTCCTTCCTTCCTTCCTTCCTTCCTTCCCTTTTCTCTTTCCTTTTCTTTCTCCATTCTCTACCTCCCTTACTTCTTTCTTCCTCCTTCCTCCTTTCCTTTCCTTTCCTCCCTCCCTCCTACTTCCTTCCTTCCTTCCTTCCTCACCCACCTACCCTTCCTCTTCTCAGCAGGCAGGTAAGTGGCTGCTGCCAGGTGGGAGAGAGAGCAAGGGAGTATGGTGCAAGCATAGAAGGGCTGACACTTCCAGGGACTTGTGAGAAGCTGTCAGGGAACACTGAAAATGAGGATCGTGGCTGACTGTGGATGCGCTGAAGCAGTCACAACTTCCCATATTTCATTCCCTTAGGAGTAATGGGTCCCGACATTCTTTAAGTTAGCCCATTTGATGTACTTAGTTGAAAAAGTCTTGCCCTATGATGCACCGTTTCACCCAGTTATATATTAGATACAAGAGGGTTTTGTGTGTGTGTGTGTGTGTGTGTGTGTGTGTGTGTGTTTTAAAAGCTGCTGCTGTCTTTTTTTTTAAAGTCCACTTATATACTTGCCCATTTCACAACTGTGACTCTGGGTGGCTAACAATTTGTTATACTAGCTGTATATTTTATTTATTCCTTTCTGTTTCTCAAATCTCTTTGTAAGTGGGTTGCAAAGATATATTTACAGTGAGGGGTAAACTGAGAAGTATATTCCAATGTTTTAATTGTATTTGTTCTAGAAATAGCAGAGGGAAACAATAATCACAACCAAGATTTAAGGCAGAAGGAGTAACATGCTGTCTTCTGCATGAAGAAAGTGGTAACTTCAATCCTTGATTGTGGGTTCAGAGGTATATGCACATATGAGCCTAATGGGTCCAGAGCTTTGACACAGATATGGCATACAGGTGGCTAATTATTCCTTGTGTATATCTGCATCTGAGTAGCAGACATTAATCTGAGCAAGTAATCCAGACAATATGCCAAAGAAAAGGCGAATTTAGAGAAAAAAATAAACTTTAACACTTTACTGTCCAAAGCCCATTTTTGTATGCCTGACCTCAGCCAAATATGCCTGTATTTCAAAAGCTGCAAAGAGCATTTCAAATGTATTTGCATCATGTCCATATAATAATCAAGCTGTTGCTTTTATAGCTAATTCCAGTTCTGTAGGTCATCTGTTTATGCCATGTTATGGGATGGTAAAGACATGATCCCAGCTGGGGGTCAGAGACCCTTAAAAAGTAGCAGCTCCCACCTCCCATTTATCAGCCAGACAAAGAACAGCTTCTGGGACCTTCCTTTTTTTTCCCCTGCAGGAAATAACACACAACCCTAACAACTGATTCCCCTGGGACTGCAAAAGAGAAGGAAAGCATAGAAATGTTTCGCATTAGCCAGGGCACGGTGTGATCTTGCAATGTGCGCAAAAGTTTTTTACAGTCTTAAATATTTTGAGGATCATTTGGTCAAAAACAGGGAACAGATCAGAGTGAGTGGCCTAGAATAGGGGTAGGCAACCTTAGCTCTTTTATGACTCATGGACTTCAACTCCCAGAATTCCTGAGCCAGCCAAGGTTGCCTACCCCTGGCCTAGAAGAACAGGAGGATGAGTGGCCACCACAGCAACGGTCACATAAGTGGGGCTCGAGTCTATGGCAAGAAATAATTTAAGAGAGTCAGTGGAGATTCTCAATCATCCAGGTCATAGTTGTCTCAAGGGTGTTTTTCAAACGGCAACTGGACTGTTATTTTGAGGAAGAAGAAGTTTCACTTCTCATCAAAGAGGTTTCCTCAGTTGTGACTGGATGGTGGTGGTGGTGGGGTACCTACCCTTCCATCCCCCCTCCATCCAGTCACAACTGATGAAGGGTGAGAAGTGAAATCATCATCATCTTCTTCTTCTTCTTCTTCTTCTTCTTCTTCTTCTTCTTCTTCTTCTCCTTCTCCTTCTCCTTCTCCTTCTCCTTCTCCTCCTCCTCCTCCTCCTCCTCCTCCTCTTCTTCTTCTCCTCCTCCTCCTTCTTCTTCCTCAAAAAACAGTACAGTTGCCTTTTGAAAAATCACATTTGAAACTTAAGAAACTGTTTCAGGCAAGCCCCTCTCTAGTTTACATGAAAATAAAAAAGAAGGAAGCAAGGATTTGTAAGATAAAAGTAATACTGGCTTAGATTGCATTGTTTTTTTTTAGCCTGGTCTGCCTTCAAGGTCATTCACTCTCCCTTTTACAATACAGGTCTAAATAAGTTAAATCACTTTTTTCTAGGCCATTGTAACTTTGAATGGTCACTAAATGAACAGTTGTAAGCCAAGGACTACCTGTAATTTGTTCTTTTAAACTAAGAGCCATCAACCACACTACCCCTGACTTTCTTTCTACTGGTACTGTAGCTCTTAAAACTGGATATCTGCTTAGAGCATAATCTGCCCTCCAAAAAGTTTCCTGAAACATTTAGAGATTCTGTACAGAGCATCTAGCCCCTTATAGAGGTTGTGTTAAACTCTGAGGGAAATGAATCAATGCATCCAAATGTGCACAAACAACTTTTGATACAGCTTAAAATCAGTTTTAAATGCGATCTGGGCAAACTCCATTAAAATAAAATCACTACAAATACCTCGACTTATGACTGTTTAACGACTGATCAGAGTTATAATGGCCTCTAAAAAAGGGACTTATGGCCTGTATTCACAACTCACGACCATCATACCACCCGTGGTCATGTGACTGCAATTTGAATGCTTGGCAACCAGCTCGCATTTATGACCCATTGCAGCATCCTGCAGTTACGTGATTGCAATTAGGACCTACAAAAAAACACCTCAATAGGGAAACTGGATTCACTTAACGATCACATGATTAATTTAATGACCATGGTGATTTGCTTAACAATCACCATGAAACTGGTTATAAAATCAGGTCCAAGTTCACTTATCACCGCAACATTTTTATGATGGAAATTCAGATTTCACTTATGGTTGTAAGACGAGGGCTAACTGTAAAGAGACACACTTTCCATTTCAAACTGCAACTTGTGTTACTTTTTCACTTCTCCCCGCCCACACAGGAGCACTATTTTATCCTTTCTACACTCAACTGGATGAAAAACTCTGAGGCATTGTTATTTGGGGATTTTTCTCATTATAGTCCAAAGAGTTGCACTTGACAGATTATTGTACAAAGCTAGCAGTGCCCTACCTACCAATAGTGGTGACCAAGTTTTGATACAATATGCGCCCCCAGGATTACAGGCAAAAACTATTAATGATGTTGTTGGAAACAAGAGTGGAGGACAGCTCTTCTTTCTATGTCCTTATGAGTTTGGTAGAGACCTTCATATGTTTTTGTAAGACCTTCTTATTTTCTCCAGTGTTTTAGCAAAGCCTGATAGAGAGAAAAAAATTCATAAATTTGTAGAAAGCTTATTTTTAAAGTATAACTAGATTTCACATTTAGAATCACAGCTTAAAGCAGCAATTCAGGCCCAGGGTTCAATTCCCTATTTAATGTAGGAATCCAAATAATCCAGTTCCCCAAATGGTTATCTAATCCAGAGG